GTACCCATATTTTAGAACTTAACTACATTAAAGAACGACGTACCCATATTTTAGAACTTAACTACATTAAAGAACTTAAGTTCTCAAAACACTTTATTTTTAATTTTATCTAAAGCAAAACATTAATTGGAAATTATTCTTTAAGCACTATTGAGGAGCTCAATGAATATTTATGTTCTTTTTCTCAAAATAATTTAGCCTTGTTTTAACTTCATGAATTTAAACATACAGTAATAAAAACTTGAGGGAAACAATTGGTAAAAAATCTGAATTTAATTAATATAGACACTGGACTTCAATAAGCCTGCACTTCACAATGACAACTCAGTGCTTTGACCACAAAGCCATTGCAAATAATCAGTTTTACAATTTTAAAATGTTAAAAATTACATATTAAATTAATTAAATTTTTGAAATTGAAAATCACAAATAATTTAAACGGAACGTTTTGATTTTTAAAAAAAAATTTAATTAAACTAGACGTATTTAAACATACAGGGAGTAATAGAAAACTGAATAGATAACAGAGGAACAGAAAAATTTACCTAAATTAATGGCACATTTAATAACAAAACTACAATAATAATTTATACCATCAGAATACAAATTAAGTATATCAACATTAAACATTAAAAAAAAATATTTTTTTTGGCTAATGGCAGGCACTTGGGTCTATTTCCCATTGGCCTCAGAAATGCCAGAATTGCTATATCGTTACCCAGTGAGCACCTATGGCTAAGTCACAGAGGTGGAGTAGCGTCGCCCTCAATATACAACCACAAGTCTGTTTATAGGGTGTGTTACTTTCACACAAAAGAAAGGACATAGAACACACAGAGAGAAAGAAACATCCATGCCCTGAGCGGGATTCGAACTCGCAACCATGGGCTCCACAGTCCATCAGCTCCATAGAAACTAACACTAATTTGGTCAATTTTATGTAAAAAAATTTAATCATTTCAAAATCTGTTTAATGATATATAATATAATCAAATCGCTCATTAAATTTTGGAATATGAAGATCAACACTAACTGCAAAACTTAATAGTATTTTATGTATGGAGCAGCTTCAAGATTTTTAATTTTGTTTCAGCTTGTCACATACGAAACACAATAAAAGATATGGGCATTAATGAAAGCAGAAAAAATTTGAGAAATAGTAAAATCAGAATAAATTTAGACATTAAAAAAAAAACTAATTAGTTAAACAATTCTGAAATGTTTTAATATTAAATAACTTAGATGCATACGGAGTAATATTGATTTTGCAAAAAAGAAGTTGTTTTACACAAAATATATTTAGAATTTTTAATTTTGATTCATATTCACATTTGACACATTTTAGATACACTGCAGAAAAAGATAAATAATACCAAAAATATTAACAAAATATATTAACACAAATTAGGATATTAAATTTTAGAAGCGGAAAATCAATTTTTAGAAGCGGAAAATCAATAAGCCATTATTATCACAAAATTGATTAACAACCATATAACTTACGTTTCAATTGTTATTGAAACGTTCATTAAATGATTGCTAATTTCTTTTTCTTCCTGTAAAACATAATAAATACTAATAATTTATTTCAAAAAGATTAAAATTGACAAAATTTAATATATTTAATTTTGATAACTGTAAATTTACCTTGAAATTATGTAACAAAGACATAAGAACAAATTCATATCTATGTTCAAAGCTTGGATTCAATATTAAATTGGACTTTTTTGTGCAAAACGAAACACCGCTGTGCGGATCGAACTGACAGAAATTAGGTACAATGCTAAATTTGCAAGGATAGGGACAGAATGACAAGCAGCCTCCGTGTTTTCCTTCAAGAAAAAGTTTTTTTTCTCAGGAATGGAAATATTTATTTTTTGGAAAAACCAGAAATGATATTGCACAGATAATGGTCAATGGGCCATTGAATGGTTTTCCAGGAAAGATTTCAAAGGAGAGGGAATGATTCAAAGAGAAGGCACAACATTTGCAAGTGTAAATAATACTTAGTATTCATTTTTAGTGGTCAGACTCATAGATCATTGATGAAACAACTATCAACTACAACAGGCAGAAGTAATATATACAATCAACAGAATGCCTTTATTCCTTACACCCCTCCCTGCTCATCGTTATTGCTCTTCAGAGGGAAGAAAGAATCTTCTCTTTTCCTTCTATTTCAAGGGAAAAGAAATCCAAACTTATGACTACAAACTAAAAAAATTCTTTTTAGCAGTTGTTTCTTAACACTTTTATTTTAATTAAAAATAAAAAAGATAAGATAGAATATATTTTAAATTACCCTAATTTTGCAGAAATGTATTTCCCTTATTTGGGGCGCCTTGACCACCAGGGCCTAGGAGCAACACTCTGACTGTCCAGGCCTAGTTACGGCCCTGCTTAGATAGTGGTCACACACACATTGTGGGGGAAAAATAAGGGGTTAAAATATAAAAAGAAACAATCTTAATTTTTAAATCATTATAAACATACAATTTTGGTGTTTTTAATATTATAACTTTGATGGTGACTTGGAAATTTGTCATAATAGCACTTTCTTTGTAATACTTGTACTTGTTTTATTAAGTTTTTATTGTAATTATATTTCTTAGTGATAGGTCAAAACCTTTTTTTTCATTTAAAAGCATATTCACATGATTTCAGATAAATACAAAGTTATTTAAGTTATTAATACAGTAAGGAACCGATTATTCGGAACGATCGGGACCATCGCTATTCCGGATAACTGATTTTTCCGGTTTTCTGAATCGCTACAAAAAGCCGTTTTTTTTTGTTAAACCCAACCAAAAAAATAATTTTTTTTTGGAAATAATCTTAAAAAGAAGAAAAAACGATGAAAGAATACACTAATGATTATTTCCAAAATGATGGTAAGGTAAACATCTTTCAAAAAAGAAAGAAAAACCCTAAAATCTTATGAGGAAAAAAACATTTCTTAAAAAAAAGGCGGGAAATTTTATCGAATTTCATTCCGGTTTTTTGTTTTTCTGATTTCCAGATAACGGGTTCTGTACTGTATATCATAGATTGCACAAATTTAGATACTCACTAAAATTCTGTAATATAACGTTTGAAAAATGATCAAATTGTAGAAAAAATTTTCAACAATAAAAATTAAATACAAAATAAATCATCTTGAAAAATAATGTGTTTCAAATCATCTCTGGGTGACCAAGCTTAACAATTTGGGCTGAGTTTTCAAAGAAATTGTCAGCAAAACTCTTTGCACACAATGGTAAACCTCTATCTCAAAATATTGCAAAATTTGTAAAAAGATAAAACGTTAATTGACCTTAACTTTCAACAATTCCTCTAATTAAATTATTGGGACTATATTTTTCCAATTGCAGTTAACCCTCATATTTTGATGGTGAAGAATCTAAATTTGCCAAAAAAGTTATTTTATGTCTGAGTTTGCACAAATTAATCATCATATTTGAAGTCAACCTTTATACATGAAAATCAATTTAAAAACATTATTCAATGTCAGATCTCATTATACTCTAGAATGGAAATCAAGACCTTGTTTTATAACAGAATATATAAATTCTGTTTTAATGAAGGTTTATGAAACTTTTCATGAACATTGTTTATATTACAATCTATATATTCAAATATAAACAAGGTCTGTCCATAAAAGTTTTCGATCATGGGTTCCGAACGTTTTCTGAAACCTGTCTATTTCGCAAGTCAAAAAATGTTTACTGTTCCCTTGCCAAAAGAAGAAAAAAAACACCAATCATAATAATAATTGATAAAATTCTTTTATCCCAATTTGAATCTTTTCATATTTTTGTTATGATATACTTACATAATCTTGCCTTTAAATTATTGAAAATATGCATTATGACAGATGTACTTAAATTAGAAATGTTTTTAATACAATATTTGATAAAAATAACTTTGATTAAATTTTTTTTTGTAAGCATTTGCTTATAAAAAAATATTTATTATTTATTATAAAAAAGAAAAATTTGAAATAAGTGATGTTTATGAATTTGACCATTTCAGTATGCAAAGCTTAGCCGATGTTTTTTACAGCGAATACTAAGTGAGACATATTTCAAAATCAAATCAGAGTTGTATTTATTTTACAAGTTAACAACAAGTAGATCATGAATTTTGAATTGTTAAACAAAGGAGAAATTACATAAATTAAACTAATAAATTAAGTTAGAGATAAATATTTAAAAAAAAAAAAAAAAACAAGAGAGAGAAAAGAAAAACAAAAACTGCATTTTTAATTAAGTTAAAGAACATGAGTCTTGGGAAACTACAGAAGTTTCAAATTCATATATAAGTTCAACAGCAAAATTGTAAAGTGGGTATTATACTCATATTTTCTCATTATGATTAAAAAGTACACTTTATTTTTTCAAAATATGCAAATAATTAAAATTATATAATAGATTTAAAAACAATTAATATGTACTGAATTAGAAATGTAAATAATTCTTTGAATTTAATGTGTGCTAAATATCAATTTTATCTATAGTCTGTTAAGAATCTTCTAAAAATCCCTAGCACACCCTAAAACTCTTAAAATCGACAAGGGGAGCCAACATTTTAGAAACTATGAAACACTTGCAACTATAATTTTACAAGGTTCTCACTGTTTCCTCAAAGCAAAAATTAAGGAGTTTTCAGGACAATTTTTGAAAAAATTAAGGACATTAAAAATAGTGTAATAATTATTTAATATCAAATATACAAAAACCCACAGTGACAGTGCCAATTATTTAACTTACTAAAAAAAATTTTTCATCATATTGCAAGTTCTCATATAGTTGTATTTATTACAGAACTTTTTATTTTTTAATACAATAGGGAATTTCAAAAAATGTTACTGCTTCTTAAAAATGTACAGTTACTTATTACACTTTGAAATATCATACACATTTATTTAATTCTTCAAGTTTTTAGAAAAAGCTGTTTCCTTCATGGACTGGAGTTCAAAAATTTCTCTTTCACTTTTTTTCTATAAGCATGTGCACTACCATTAGAATTGAATTTCTTAAACTCTGTCAATTTTGATGGTCAATGTAGGTACCTCAGAACTTAAGTACCTTAGAAAAGACCAAAAGAAGTCAGTATCCCACTCTCCTTCACCATAATCTCTCTCAGAATGCTCTACTTTCCACGAAGGGTCTCATTCTAGGCATACAAAAAAGAACATATTAATAAAACATCCACAGCAAGGGCATGCTTACTTCTCCTTGCCTATAGCCCCCCATTACACACACCCTTTTTTGTCTCTAAATATGTGCTACCTTCCATTCAGAGTCTCATTCTAGGTGAAGAAAGACAGACTTTTTGTTTCAACCATTTTTGTAAGACTAAAAAATTGTTTCAATCAACTAGTGATACTGGAAATTAAGGACTTTTAAAACCCTTGAAACAAAAAGAGCTTTTGAGGATTTTGGAAACCCTGTTTTAGCAGATAATTTCGGAAATAGCTAATAGTTTTATGTTTACCATTAGTTCTATTGGCTAAAGCTGAAAGAACTATATTATAAACCAAAATAATTTTTGTTCAAACTATAATTTACCTTTGAATTATATTTTCTATATGGATTGATAAAATTGTCTTCTCTGGGAATCAAATTCATTTCTTGGCAAAGCTGTAAAAGATAAAGTTTTTAAGTTAAGGATTTATAGCAAATTAACAAAATTATCAAAATAAATATGGTATTGGATATAGTGTATAAGTTAAAGTAAGCTAGATTATTATTGCTTTAATATAGATATTAGAATTATAGAATTATTTGCATTTAATTGTTGATAGCAGTCATTCCAAATTTGAATGGTAAATTTTTTTAAAAAAAATCACCTGAATTTATGCAATATTTAAACATATAAAGCTTGGCAAATCATTTTAACAATTGTGACTTATGATGTTTGTCAACTAATCATAAGTAACAAAAATTTATTATTTGTCAGAAAAATACTTTATAACAAAATGCAGCACATGTTTTGTAGAAATTTATGTTTTTTTCTTTTTTTTTTTTCTTTTACAAGACTTGGTTAACTATTCATCTTTTTTAAAGCTTTATATTCAGGTTTTGGTGGATATTGAGCACTGTTTACATACAATAATTATTGAGTTTCATTTAAATCGAAACAGACACTAAAAGCTTGTTTAAGCACGAGAGAATGCAGACAATAGGCTTCTTCCAATGAATCATGTTCAGTGCTCCACTGGTAGATAGACATTAGTGTTGGAAACATTGATAATCATAACAAATCAGAAAAATCTATGCTCATTGTTAATCTTCGCAGGGGAGAACATCATAAAAGTTTCATGTCAGATGTTCAATGGGACATTAACATGCTTGTGAAAAAGTGTTTACCTCACAAGAGAAGCCAGTTTCTACAACTTTGTACTTACATGTATCTTAATTTCGGCAAAATTGCTCAGTAGTGTTAAATTAACAAATGATGTAAATTCAGCATATCAATAAGTGACTAGGTATTTAAATGTGCGATTCAAATTTCACTCTTCAAAATAATATGAAATGACAAACACTGAAATTTTTAAAAAACCCTTGGAAATTGGTAGCAATAACTGCTGAAAAGTCGAATATCATCACATTAAAAGTAAACTAATCAAATGCACAATTCGAACTTATCATTTTGTTATGATATCAGTACTAATGAAGTAAATCCTGAGAATATCAGTAGTAATAACTGAGCAATGGAAGACATCAAAAGTAAATAATCAAATGAAAATTCATAACAATTACCGAAAAATTATCAAAACACTACATATATTTACGATGTAATCAGCGAGTTGTGAGCTAAAAAGTGAAAACTCAATACGTGATTTAAAATTTTCATGCACATAATATATTAAAATATTTAATTGATTTTATTTCAACCAAATAAAAAAGGAAAGGCAAATGTATCCGCAATGATTTAATAATTCTTTTACTACAAAACTGAATTTTTAACAAAATCATCACTCACATTCATATATTATTAAAATACAAAAAAAAAAAAAAAAAAAAAAAAAAAAAAAAAAAAAAAAATATGTTAGGTACTCTTTAAAAAAATAATAGAACATTACTAGAGCATACTATTTTTTTTTTTTTTTTTTTACATTTTCACACTTTTAGAATTACTTTTTATATTATCAATTTAAAATTCTAGCTCAAGTCAAGCATAATGTAATATTTTCATTTTCAACGAAAAATAGAAAAATCACAAGCATTTCTTCCCCCTCTGACAAGCTGGAAAGGCATCTTTTGAAAATAATTCTGCAGGAAAAAAAAAACATTGTTCAAAAAATTCTGCAGAAAAGAGAAACAAACTTTTTTTTGCTGCCTAAACAAAAAATCTTTCTGCAGTAACTCTAACATTCTGCAACTGGGGAGTTTATTTAAAAAATTTGTTGTGAAATTTGAATTCTTTATATTTTTCAAAGACATATTTGCAGTTTTTTTCAATTAAAATTATTGCATTAAGAGCATAGTATACAATGTACAAAAATGTAAAATTTTTACGTTTGCCAAACTTTCTATTCCAAAAAACAGTTGTACTTAATGTTAACATGGATTTTTGAATAAAGATTCTGAAAAATTGTATTTATTGATTTTTTTTTCTTCATTATTCTTGTTTCCTTAAAACTTTAATTTTTCTCTCTTATACTTGTTCATTTCTATGTTAATATTCTGAATGCAATTTTTTAAAAATTTTTTGTATCTGTTACTTCAATTTTCATCATGTTCCCAATATTATGAAGGTAACACCATTCTTTTTTGATCCTCTCCTCTTAGAAAGTACCTTTCTGTTCCCCATCTTTCATCTGATGATAGAGTTTCCTTTTATTACTCTAATTCATTGCCTACCTCTTTTAAGACCTCTTTTGAATTCATTGGCGACCAGCTCAAGCTCAAAGGCGAGGTCCTAACAAACCATTTTCCCCAACATTGACATGGAGCCCTAGCAAAAGGTTTAAGCCAAGCAAAGATGCTCGGTCTTAAGAAACTAGGCCATTAGGAATATGAGTCCCACCTTTACGATAGTTATGCCATGAAGTGAATACACTTGGTTTTAAGTAAACTATGTAATCATTGGATAAACTTTTATTTAGTGTTCCCCTACAAGAAAATATAAAAATGAAGACTTATTACAATAGAACATACCAAATTTATCATTTTCACAGTCTTGTTATCAAAAACGCCAGTTGAATTTGAGAATCCAATTGCCCATTTCATTAGAATATGCCAATCCTGATGGTTATCCATTATTCTCTCTGTGATATCCGGTAATTTCAATCGAAATTCTCCAAACATAGCAGTGTTATCAATTATTTTGCCTAAAGCTAAATGGGATTCAATACAATGAAATTAAACTTCAAGAGGAATAAAAAAAAAAAAAAAATTCAAAATAAAAATATTACCTTCATATACAGATATGTTTACTGGTAAAGCAAATCCAGGAATGTAGTTTGAGTTCTCTACAATAACTTTACTTGATGCTATAACCTTTCAAAATTTGAAAATATTTTTAATTATAGCAGAATAAACTAATTTCTGTATGCATGTGTATATATATATACACACACATATATATTATTATTCCGGGTTTAAAAAAAAAAGAGTTTTAGAGGTAAGATCAAAAGTAAAATTATGTAAAAATTTCTTCAGTTTCCTTAATAAATCAAAAGCTGATTAAAAATGCTTAAATTATTTTTTAAAAAAATCACACACTAACCAAGTTCCATAAAAATCTACTGACCTTAGGCGACAAATTGTAATTAGGCTAAATGATTTGACAGAGAATGGCCCAAAATTACTATTTACATGCAAAAAAAATCTTTTTAAAAATTTGTTATTAGGAACATAACAAGTATTAAACAAAAAATCTTTTACAAAATTCTTGAAAATTATTTCATAAAGCTGAAATCAAACTTTTTTTTATTGTAAATTGTTTTAAATGTGTAATAATTTAACATAATATTAAATACCTAAAGATTCAAATAAAAGACTTCTTTGAATTCTATTTTACTCCTTGAACTACTGAAAGTTCATTTTAGAGTGTGAAAATTAAATCATTAATTAAAAAAAAAAACTTAGAATGTTTTGGTTTACACTTTATTAACAGAACACTTAAGTTAACCTATAATAAAGAACATAAAAATGACCGAAATGCAGGATTACATATATTCTTGTACGTCAAAATCTCATAAGTACTTAATAGATAACTTTCATAGCATTTTTAAAGTGCTAGAATGTTTATAAAGAACAGAGAATTAAATAATTTATTTACATTTCTGAACTTTGTTATGAACATTACAAATAAGTGTAAACTTGTTTCAAGCACATAAATATACAATCAAATACATTTATAATGATAGTCTAGGGATTTAGGTAATTTCAGGATTTGTTTCCTATTTTTTTAAGCATAACTCGGATCTGTGTAGAACTTGCAACTCCCCCCACCCCCCAAAAAAAGAAAAAGCTTCTTCTTTTAAATTTCAGAACTGGTCAAAATCTGCAAATCAACAAAAGGAGGTTCCTCTGATGTTCAAAATCTTCACAAATAAAAAATTATTTTTTATACTTAATTCATTTGAACAAATGATAATTTTGACCTTAAAAGTGCACATACAAAGTGAAATAAGTAAAATCATTTTTTATTTCTAATCTAATTTAATAAAAACAAATGACAAAAGATTGGAAGGATGAATCCTTATTTTACCCTTATCAGTACTGTATATTTTTTAATGTTTCAATTATTCTTTTGTAGAAATAGAAATAAAAAAAACTATTATTCAATACTTTCTTTTATAAAATTTCAAAATTTTGCTCAATTAAGTTTTCCGGTTATTTTTCGTATATAAATACATCTGTAATAAAGTTATAGTATGCAATGACATAATACAATAATGTAACTTGTAATTATGATTGTAATATTTAGTTAATGGTTATCAGCTCATATTGAAAATCTAATACATTTATCAGTTATGTAAGTTTTTAATAGTGCGAAGATTTGCCTCAATCGGTTATGTGACAAATTAGTTGTATAATTACAGTTTAGGAGATAGCTTACATTATATCACTGTTCAATGGTTTGTTACTTGCTTATATATATATACAAATATATATTATCTAATAATTCTTAATATTAACTATATTGGAAATAATAAATATTCCAATCAGTTATAAATAACAAACCACTATATCTGTAATTAAATAAAGATGGGTTAATAGTGCATACCTGCCAACATTGGAAAAATAAAATAACAGAGATTTTACCATCGACATTTTTTAGGCTATGAGTAAAGTTTTGATACATCATGCATAATCATGTAAGTCAAAAAAGAGAAATTCAAAATTGGAACACTTATATTTAGTAAAGTAAAAGATATGTATATAAATCTTTATCTAAAGAAGTTTTTTTTAAATCATTATTTATAATTACTTAAACTATTAACACTCAACATACTGCAGTACTGACAAAAGCAGTATCTGTTGAGGAATAAGAGAAATACTTTTGGCATCAGCGGATATTTTATCGACAATTTTTAAAAAAAATTTTAATGAAAATTTCTTGTTTCAAAGTTATGCTCCTAACAATAGAATTTTATGTAGGGTTTTCAATGTGACTAATCGTTGTTTAAAAATTTCATTGCTATAAATAGAATCTCATTAAATCTAACCACAATATGAATCACATCATACGAAAATAATTCCCAGCAGTTCACAAGACCATCAATGCAGAACAGTAATAAAGTACAATAACAAATGCTGTTATTCATTATAATTATAAGTAGCTAAAATATGCAATTTTTAACCAATAATTTTTTTTTTATGCATTTTAGTTTATTAAAACAGTTTTTAGTAGAAATATGACTTTTTTTTTTCTTCTTTACTATGCACATAGAATAAACAACTCTTCACAAATCAGTTTACACATCATATTTTAAATAACCTAATCTGTATTTAATTCAAAGAGGAAAATAATAAAATACCTAAAGGATTAATAAAAACATAAGCAGTGTATTATGAAAGTGATGAATGTAATTTAGTTTAATTTTTAAAAATCAAACATTAAAAACACATACTTCATAAATCTTTTCCAAAGCCTTGTAAGTTATCTTATACTGCTTTTCATAATCTTGAAATTTCAAAACACTCTGAAGAGCTTCAATTTGGTGAATTCTTGTTTCTAAAAATGCAGCTTTAACTTAAAAGTAAGAGTCAAGGCTATGCATTGATGATAATATATCACATTACTTAAAACTAGTTTTAGAAATTAGTACAGAAAATTAGTGATTAACCTATTTTTTAAACCCACTTTACCCCACCGGATACTTTAAGTTTTTGTTTTTAGTATTTATAATAAATTTAAACAACAATATAAAACAGTCTAAATTTAGTGATTATCCTTATTTTTCTAGGTTGAAAAAATTACAAATATCAAATTTAAAAAAATTCAAAATTCTACGAAAATAATTATGGTTTTTATGGTATTTAAATAGCATAGCAAAATTTGGCTAAAATAAGACAAGTAAAGTTGGCTTTACCAGGTTCTTGATTATTTAGTTTAAATTACACATTCTCACAATGGGAATTTATTGAATCTTTCGATTGCCAGTTTACATATATTTATGTTAATTTATATCTGATTATTAATATTTACCCAAATAACATGTAAGAAATTTGTTAGCAATTGCCAACATTTCTAACAGATACTTTTTAAGGTAAAAAGCCACTGCTCATTATTTCCTAGAAATTTTTTTCTTCTTTATCTATTCAGTTAAATACAGAATTTTTAGAGCTAGGTATCAAAAAGAATGAAATTTGAGTTACATGTTTGGAGAACAATACACTGATATTATTATGAACGTTTTATATTCTATAAAGAAAGGTATAGTTAGTTTTGGTTTCAATTAGAACTGAGAAGTTAATGATTGTGATTGATGGTTGTGGATTTAATTTTGTAATTAAAAAGTTTTCACTGAACAATAAAATAACAATAGGTGAAAGTAACCAATACTGATTGAATTTAACATGCTGAACTTGAATATCTTAATGATTAAAATTGAAGAGACAGAAATATCAGATATTCTGTTTACAGGCTGCAGCATGTAAGACATACTAAAGGAAAAAAAAGTTTTGACAGGTTCTCTTCTTTTCTCAGCATTTTGCAAGTCATTATTATGTCAATTTAAAAAAAAATTAAATGCATACCTACACAGAGAGGAAAAAGTTTCTTTCAAAGTCCGATGGAGGTGAAAGGTTACAAAGGATCACAACTGTTTCTTCCTGCTTCGGTGCATGTGAAAGGCAATTTTTAAAAAATAAATAACTCTGCAAAAAACATTTGTGCAAAACTGGTACAGTTGGTATCCCAAAAGAAAAATCTTACTGCAAGAGCTCTGTAACGTTCTGCAACAATGATGTTGCCGCGATTCTGCTGCAGGATCCCAGTAAATGTCTCCAAAAATATCAACCAAACTATCTCAACATAAAAGGAGAAAATATATATTTTTTGAAATATCTCCTCTAGCCTCCATCTACCCACTTTACTCCCCCTGACCTTACTTTTAGTTAAAAATTAGTATGTAATTTGGAAATCCTTGGATCTTAGGACACATAGTTAACAAAGTCAAGCAAAATCACTGGATGGTTATCCAGGTAGCGCAGCCAAATCTTTCAACAAAAAATAAGTACCTACTCTTCAAGTACACAAAAAATATTTTCAAGCACTACATACATTAACAAAATGTAAAATAGATTTCAAAGACTTTACATGATCATGATAAAGTTACCGGTTTCTGACAAAGAACTCTTCTCTTGATTATGTTAGCCATTATAAAAAATAAAAAAAATCAAGAGGTTTTTTGGTTTGATATCAGAGAGTGGAAAATGAAGCCTAAAATTGAGAATATCGAGCAAAATGCAGCAGAGTTGCATATGAGAGTGCAAGAATCTCACCGAACGCAGATGTAAAATGATTGGAACTTTCATACGCTGTGGACCAACGGGACACCGAAATAGATTGTGGTTCAATGAATTGTGAAAGTGTTGAATAGAACAATGTGAAAAGCACGCTTTTGAATAATAAGCAGCAAAAATAGACATGGTAAAGCAAAAAATCTTATTTTCGAAAAGGGAAAATTAAGCACTTTTTAAGAACATCCAATGAAAAAAGCACCTTTAAAAAACACTAGCACCATGTTATATTTTTTATGCTACCTACTCTAATATATTGCAATATATACATTAAGTTATATGTTTAATCATTTTACATTCTTATTATAAGTTTTCAATATTTTATTCAGAATAATGGATTTGTAGATTTCAATGAAGATAAGATTGTAACTAACTTCAACAACAAGAAAGAAGATAAGTTACATCAATAAAAGTAAATCCAAAACACTTGACCATAAAAGAATAATTATAAAAGGAAACTAACTAGTTCCAAATGTACCAGTTAAATGGTTAATCAGTTTGATAGTTAATGCATAACCAATTAAATGCATGAAGAAAAAGATTAGGAAAGTAGAAAATATTTTTTAAAGAAAATATATATATATATATATATATATATAATACTGTTTATAAACAAAAATAATCTTTAAATAAACATAACAAGATTTTGTATCTATTTAAAAATTTATTTTCAAAGAGAAATAAATTTTTCCCACCTAAAATATATAAATAGAAATTTTCTCTGAATCTCAGATTGTGGAATAAACATCTTTTATAAGATTTTTATTACTGCACATTTAAACTACTAAATATTGATGAAATACTATGGGGAGAATTTTGTATCAGTACCAAAATAGTTAGCAAGTATCAACAGGGCAAAAACATGCGAGAAGAAGATTTTGGTATTATTTGTGGCAAAATAAACGTCAAATTTTTGCAACTTTCGGGCAGGGGCCAAGAGAAATTGAAAAAAGCATCTCAATGTATTTTAAACTTGTAAATTTAAATATTAATAAAAAAAAACATGTAAAGGTTCATCTGGGAAGGACCTTGAGTTATACCTTTTGAGTTGGTCCCCATTTGAGACTTTTTTTTCCGCAGACCACTGCCTGGAAGTTGCCAAAACTTGGCGCTCAGTCTGCTACAGATCACAATACGGAAATACTTTCCATGCGAGAAACTATAAAAATCATTGCAAAATTGGGCAAGTTATTCCTGCCATAAAAGCGGAGCAATTTCAATTTGCATAGACAAGTACAAATATGGAAATATTCCCCTAAATTAAGGATAATTCTATTTAAAAGATACAAATTGATTCCATGGTTGTTTTCTCTTTTTTCAAACTATCTACATCATTTGCAGAATATTGCGCAAAAGTAATGAGAATATACAAATAAAACACTATACATAGTTTAAATAAAACTAGAAGTCTATTATGAAGGCTATTTAATATCCCTTCTGTCATCCTAATAAACAAAATAAAAATGCATTTCTCATGGAAACTTATGAAGCTTAAAACTAGTTCTTGAGCCAATAGCAAAAAGTATTTATCATGATGAATCTTTTAGCAAGATATTAAAGTTATTTATAGTGGACACATTTCGAAGATAATAACTTAAATTTTATATTAGAAAGTACTGGCCTTTAAGAGAGGTTATTATCGTTGAAAGCAAACAGCTCTGTTTCAGAAACAGAGCACAGACGCAATTAAAAAGCTGAGATAAAATCCGCTTTACAAGAAATTTAAATTAACCTCTCTTGCTCAAAATACTTGCATCTGATAAACAAACAAGTAATGCAACGAGCCCTTTTCTAAAGCTTATAGCTCTCTATTTCAATTAAAGAAGCTTATGGCCTTATGGCCATGGTTGAGAAGCTTATGAATGAAAAGGTTGCGCTCACAACGCTAGAATGCGCCATCTGGGGAGAAGACCGGATCCATGTTTTGACCCTCTTTCTCCTCTTCTTTTCAATATTTTTTGATTCTCTTTTTCTTAATATTTTTCGTATTTAATTGTCACAAATAGTTTTCAAAATTTCCACAATGCTTTCGTTTAGAACTACGTTCAATGTAATCTTCAGTTCCATATGATGTTTTCTACACCAGGGAGCGCTGCAAGCTCCTGACTGCCTATACTTCCGGGTTACCGTTTTTGGTGTGTTTTGCAGCCATTTAGCTCACAGCGTGATTATTGTGTTTTAAGACTCTCTTGAGTAGTATTTCTTGTATACGTGTATGGATGGGTGATCGTGTTAAGCTAAGGGTGGTGGCGCTAGTTGTAAAATTGCTCTTTCAAGACTTCCGGGTTACTGCTTCTGATATATTTTTACGCCGCAGATTGAAAAAACGCGCCATCATATTATTGCATCATATCTTTTGCAGTATTTCACATGTACCGAGTTCTTTCTTTCAGCCTTTAAACTTCAGCATTATCATATTAATATTATAATCATTAGAATATTTTCTAATTAGGCTATCTTAAAAAGATATTTTAAAGATATTTTTTGCGACATTTTATTCAAATGTAGCCATATAAGGGATAAAATACAAAACATGGCAAACCTTAAGAATTATTCACAATGAGATATTAACTTTCCAAAAATTTTTTTGGCCTTACGACCTTTGAGATTCAATACATTTCTGAAAGCTCTTATGAATGGTACAATTATGTTATGAACCCAAATTACAATAACAAAACTGCATAGAATATTAGGCTTGCTCGCACATCGCCTTGTAGTCATAACATAAGCAAAGGGATACACCGGAAATTTTCTAAATTTCTTCCGGTTTAGGGACACTTGTTATTGTTTACATTAGACCACCCATCCATTTGTTAACTGATTTATTATTTATGTTTAAAGGAAGAATCGTTATACGAAGCGTCAGTTGAAGATCGGTCATTTCAATATGTAAGAATTTTCTTTTGAAAAAAAAACAATCGTAATAAAACACTTAGGGCCGGGATAGCCTGATCGGTAGGGCACTGGGCCCATGTCCAAGAGTTCGTGGGTTCTAACCCCGCCGGCCGAAGACTCCCCGTGTAGTAAAGTGACTGATGCACGTTAAATCTGTCGAGTTGCAAAAGTTCTCCATGTTCCCATAACAAATCAACACCTCTGGGGGTATTGGATTGGAGATCGATCGTTCTCTGAGTCAGGTCAAAATTTCGATCTGTGAATGAATAAATGGTTGTATGAATGGGTCCACCCTATATCTAAATCTAGCAATCATGTCATCTTTTTTAGGAATGCATCGCTACTAAACTAAATAACTAAAGCACTATTTCACTTCAAATTCACCAGAATTACTTAATATCATTGATATCTTATAAATTACGGCAGATTTCAGCTCAGAAATTATAAAATTTATTTATTTTATTAAAAATGAAATTATCTCCTTGAAAATATCGCCTCGTAGAATAAACTGTTGTAAGTAGCTGTATACTTTCTAACAGGAAGTAGAGCAGGTCAAGAACTCGAGATTGTTGTTTATATTTATATTGAACTAACCATCCATATCCTATGAATGGTGTTTTCTAAATTAGGGGGCGCTTCAAGCTCTTTACTGCATATACTTCCGGGTTACTGTTTCCGGTATATTTTGAAGTCATTTGACTCACAACGTGATCATTATGTTTTGAAACTCCCTTGAGTAGTATTTCTTATATGCGTGCGTTTATAACCTGATTTATTATTTGTGTTTAATAAACAGAATCTAAAGCATTCAATTGACAATTTATTAGGCTTCATTCGTTTCTTTTCCTTGCGAGGTAAATTCAATAATGTGCTTGACCTCCATTTCGCTTGTTAATTTTATATACTACATTGTCATTCGATCTTTCTTACTAATTTAAATTTGTAAAATAATTGCATAATTTGAATTATTTTTGTTTGATAATTTTGTGATATTTCTGGGGCTCCAACTACAATCACTAGGGTGCCAAATGGATTTTATACTTGCAACTTAAAAGAAGAAAACGTGTAGAGGTTTGCCCTGGAGAGGCAATGAGTTAAGGTGAACCTAAAGCTCCATACCTGTATAATGTTAAGGATTGCCGAACAGTCTTGCATATTAAATAGCGTTAAATTTCAAAATTTTTTGTAAAATTTGTTTTTAAAATTTTTATAAAAGCATACATTGAATTAGTTAATTTTCTTTCGTCGTTCTTTCTCAGAAAACTAGATGACACTACAATGATACGAAAAGTGTGCTGTCATTGCGAACAAAAACAAAAAAGATACAGTTTGCGAAAAAAGAACTTAGTTGTTGTTGTTGTAGTTCATTTACGTCGAACTAGAGCTGTACAATGGGCTATTGGCGACTGTCTGGGAAACATCCCTGAGGATGATCTGAAGACATGCTATCACAATTTTGATCCTCTGCAGAGAGGATGGCACCCCCTCTTCGGTAGCCTGACAACGCGAAGTCGAGAACTTTTCGGTAGAACAGTTTAACGAGGAGCAATACCGAACACCCTCGGTCCCTACGCAGACTGATCCAAGTGGTCACCCACCCACACACTTCGTTGATCTGCTGGAAACCGTGTCTTAACGATCAGTCCACTGCGGGACAAAAAAGAATTTAGAATAAAAAATTAATATTTTCTTTAATTGAGAATGCTTTTCTATCATTACAGATTGTTAGCTTTCTACCAAAAGAAAAACACTCTTTTCTTACTCTAAAACATTTTGATTTATATTTAATCAGGGAAACTGTGCGAGAAAATGATAGTTAGTCAATTTAGGAATTGGTAACTGAATAAAGTGAGCTATTGCCTAGGTATATTGATTGTAACTTATTCTCTACTAGTGATCAGGGCCGAATTAACCTATTGGCACACTAGGCGCGTGCCTAGGGCCTACGAAATTCAGGGGCCTACGAAAAACTTGGGAGAAAAAAATTTGTTGACAAAAATAATTTAGCTTTAAAAACAACAAGTGTATTTTGCACAAAATTATGAAGATACAAATAAAAATATAATATTTTTCGGTAATAAATTATTTTGTAGAATCTTATGATGTAATATATTACATTTTTGTGATTTTTGGATTCGGCAGTATGTCGGTATTGCAGATAAAGTTCGATAAACAAATTTGTAAATTAAAATCCATATTAATAAAAATGTAAAAAAAAATGTGCAAGAAAATTTTAGCATATAATTCGAAAAGAGGGGTGGAGTGCGGGAAGGAGGGGAGGGCCCAAAAACGGCTATGCCTAGGGCCTACGAAAGGTATAATCCGGCTCTGCTAGTGATGATCGCCAAATAATTGGAAACAAGTTATATCACAAAAATTGTATTTCTTTGTTATTGAATTTTATGTCAGCTCTTCACGGTGAAATTTCATGAAATTATTTTCGTTCCTCCCTCTGTTCATAATGAAAGCTAAATTATAAAAGAAAGCTGAATTGAAGTTCTTTACCTCTCAGATAAAATTTAATTTTTTATCCCTTGCATGTGCGTACATAGTTTATTCTTAACTGTGAAATACTGATAGTTTTCATTATCTTTTAAAGCCGGGTGACTGCACTCCTATTTTATTTTTACTACGATGAAAGCTTTCGGATAGTTAATGCGATTTAATATCAAAGTCTATTGTGATATTGAAGTTTGTTTCTAAATTAGTTTCGTTACTTACTTAGTTACTATATTTAATGTACAGTGCTCTAAAAAACTGACCACCCTGAGTAACTTTTGATCTAATGATCGGATCTTTACGTTCTAGGACTTAATCTTAATGGCTCGAGGGGATGATTTCAAATATTCTAATTAATAAAGGCAGACGATATTTTAAGTTACGAAATCAGACACAAAAACGTATTTTCTCTGAATAAACATACCTTTTCTTCGACGGATTTGGATTTCTGACCCCCAAAATACAGGGTGTAGCCGCAATCTAGGAAATATGGTCCTGATAGTTTGGTCCGGAGAGTTATTCAAAATTTGGACCTATTAATGTTAATTTTACTTTTTGTGTATTTCACTATATCTGGAGAACTTTTCAAGCAAATTTAAAATTCGAATTTTCCAAACTTATTTCCATGCAAAAAATACTTTTTACTACATATTTATCATTTTACTTAAAAATGGTCGAAAAAATTTTGAATGATAAGGTATACAATTTTTTACATCATTTTAAAGAATATAAGGTACTGTGATAAATTTCTAATTTAAGAATTTTCTCTGAAAAAAAAAAGAAATTGTTGCTGTTGGCTAACTGAGATGTAGAAACAGGACAGAGTCACTATGCTTCAGTACAGTATTAATTCGAAAATGCCATGCTTTCAAATGAATCAACATTTTGTTAATGCATCTTTATAAAATAAAAATAACACATTATGTAACTGCATTCTACAATAAAAGTAATGGTGTATTCTAGATGTATTCTAAACATTTTTCTGTGTATTAACATGTATGAGTAGTATGTTTTTGTACTCTGCAACATTGCTTGTTAAAATGAAGATGTAGGCAAGGAATAATTAAAAAATTATGATTTTATTAAAAAAAAAAACTTTCTAAATCAGGTAAATCCAATTTTTTACTAAAGACTAAATCAAATCAGCAATCCTGGTGCTTTGCCTACACTTATCAAAAAGTAGTAATCGTTTTTTATTTCTCTGGTATCCAAAGGCTACTATTAGTAATGTGTAGTCTAAAGCTTTATTTTTTGGACCAGGCATCAGGTATACAGGACTACAAATTTAAGGTTATGTATTTTAACTAATAGTTATCAGAAACGCAATATTTGTGTTCAATGCAATTTTTCAGAGCCTTATTATTGCTTTCCAAATCGGGTAATTTTTCAGATTTAGGTGGGTTTTTTTTGTTTTGTTTTTTTCA